GCAACATTCCACTTTTCATGGGCTCAATATTTCCTGAAATAATTTTGGTGTGCCGAGGTAGAAAAGTGAAACCTACGACCCTAGACAAAATAGTTGATACAACAGACAGATATTCAAGTAAATAAAGCAGTACAAAAAAGTTGATCAACTAAGCATACCGAAAAGTCGGTAGGCGGATCGTGGGTTCGCACTCCCACATAACGGAGACAGGAGAAGGCGTCAGCACTCCGCTGAAGGCTTGCAAACCGCTCAGCCAGAAAAGATGCGCCTACAGAAACGGGCGGGGAGGGATAGATAAATAGGCGTAAACCAAACAGACCCAAAAGTTGTCCATAGCAGTGACCGCAGAAAATACATAACACGTTTGGCGTATTAGATGACTGGTGAGAGCTTTTAGGAGGTAGCTTACTTTTACAGCAAATTTGACAATAATTTCGGACTCCATAACTCAGCAAATGCGTACTTTCAATTACTGCACTCAGCATGTCCCGCTAAACAAGATGAGATGGAAGGAAATGCGATTATTCCAGACAGTAGATTATTCGTTATGTGGAGTAAGCAGCCGGAGGCGAAACTTGACCATCCTAATCGGACCAAGTAAGTTTCTCCCGTTTATTCAGACAGTCCGGAAGGTGGGGTGCGTCATCTCTGAATAACTGAGGCTACATGGCAATCGTGTCCAGTTCGTTCGACAAATTAGGCGATGGTCGATAATGTTCAGACACTACCGCCAGTTCACAAAAATTCAGAATCTCACGACACCGTGCACATATCTACTTGTAAAAAAGATGAAGGCGGTTACGGTTTGGGTAACTTTTAGGTTAGAAAATTGATTTTTACATTGCTGTGCTGAATAATCTGGTTAGAAAAGCGTGGAGAACCCCAACAGAAGGCTACAACACCTTGTAAGCTAACAGTATACACAAGAACACCTACAAACGGCCTTCAAACAACTTTTCTCCCTCCGAACTCAGACTGATACCTTATACGAATGAGGAATGAGCTTGGAACGGCTTGAAAGACTACACAACCACTCTGAACACTGGTCGTTACCTTAAGGCTATCGAACTGCCGGGCCGTATAAACAAAACGGTGAAAAATAGGCAAACTTCGCCTAATTTTTACCAGCGAACAACGTTTCGGGTAAGCACATAAATAAGCATGGTAGTACGAGGAGAGATTTGTGTGGGGTTGTTGCATGAGACTTTGACTGCACGAACTCCGAGCGTGGTGTCTGCTTAAATTAAAACAAACGGCCAACACCTCGGTTTATCGAATTCTGTGTGAGAAATGCACAATCTACGTATCATCCGTAAGTTTACGTGATACCAAACGACTTACACTACGACGGGACAACAATGTAGAAGTAACTGTTGACTTAGACAAGTTGGTGTAAGCGTGGCAAAGATCTCAGAGCTGATCAACGATGAGAAACTAATCAAAACCACCAATCGAAACCCCAAGAAAATATTGGAGGTCAAAACAGAGACGTGAAAATCCAACGAGGCATTAGGTTGCGCAACTCAAAAATGACTTGATGCGCACGGACACACAGGTAAACACCTCCCAACTACGCTCTTACGGCTTGTGTAAGATCGAGAAAGTGAACTTTCACCTAACCAGCAGAGGTACGCCTGTTTGTTGACTTGCTGAGCGGCACTGGGAATATTTGAAGACACTAATGGGCGGCTGCGAATATGCAATAAAGATAGACAGAAGAGAACGACCGGCTCAGACAAAACACGGGCACCGCCGGGACTCATGTCTTGGCTTACTTTCAACACTGAACGATTGCAAGAAAGAAAATGCGGTGGTCTACTGGAGAAACAGAGTATGATAAAGAGAGGAAAGCTATGAAAAACGACGCATTTAAGGAAGGAATACGTACTTCGCATTTAACGATCAAATTAAAAAACAAATTCGAGGTTCCAGTTGGATATAATATCTCTGATAACCTTACCGAGGCCGATTTACAGAATTCAAACACAGGTTTCCAATGTCGCTATAAGAACAATTTGTGCCCCGCCAGAGTGATGACAGTTTATTCACTATGCGTCAGACATGTTCAGGAGATTCAATTAGCAGCTAAACTGTATTTACCCCTTACTCGCGTGAGACTAGATCCTCTTCGTAAATATCCTACAGTAAATAC